AAAAAGATAATCAGCAATAAAGATTACATTCAATAATACAAAACAGTAAACATTGAAAATGTATATTTCTAATTCAATTTTAAAAACTACATTATGGATATTGAATCTGTTTACTCGTACACGCAACAAGCGTTGTGTTCGTTCCAGTCAACCAATTCTTCGTCTTTGAACCACAGCTTGATCTCACGATTTGCTGTTTCAACAGAGTCACTGCCATGGATAATATTTCTAAAGCAGAATTTATTAACAGCTAGGGTCGTTGTAAATAAATGTATTGTACTGTGGTCACAGTATAGCGAGGGGCAGTAGTGCCACTTAGCGGTACAATGTGTCTTCGTATTTTTATGCAAAAATATGCAGTTTACTGGCTGGCAAAAATTTACTGGCAAAAATATGCAGTTTACTATGCAAAAATATGCAGTTTACAGCCAGTTCAGCGTGCTTATTAGCCAGAACATGCAGTTTACTGGCTGAGAATCATGCGTAATGCGATATGCGCAAGGACAGAAACTTCAAAAGCTCCGACGTAAGTGGCGCTACTGTTGTTTCCTATACTGTGCTGTGGTCTTGTGACACCATGAGAGTGTCGCAGATGCTAGGAACATGGTAACCTGAGTATCAGATTCTATTTTACAAATAATAGCCTGACACAATCCTTAAAGGCAGAGTGCACCCACATTCGCATTGCGTTCACAAACTTGAAAAAAACTTTAAGAAAAACTTTAAGTATGTCGTAAATCAAGTTTTAGAAAACAAAATGGAGTCGTCTATGGCAGTGTCGTAAATTTTAATACGGATTATATAATGATGGATTTATTTAATTTTGGGATGAAATCAACTCGATTAAATGTAATTTTTACTGGATGTTCCAAATTATTGCAATTGACACTTGATTTGCATGAAGTGTAATCTGATATCTTGTTCAAACAACGACTCAACACAATGTGACATTGCGGCTGAGAATTGTGCTCCTTGTCGACGTTTGTATGCTTTCTGAGCAAATTGGAAAGGGACGGTGACGATAATTTTCGTCGTGGCCAGATGAACCTGGTTTATCTTTACGATCGGCAGAAAGCGCTAGGTAGGTCTGGAAGGAAACGCCAACACGAGGAAGGCTACAAAAAGGCGCGGAGCACGATTTGGAAGACAATTGCCTAACACACAATAACACAAGGACGTCTACAACTTGAATTTGGCTGAATTTCTTTTACAGTACGGGAGAACATACCACAGGATTTTAGATTACAGTAGAAATTGTCAGAACTACTTAATTAATAGTACTTTGATAAAAACAGTACACAATTTTTAATACTTACTCTGAAAGCTGTAAACATTTATAAAATTAGTTTATTTGTACTATAATCATGTACGATCGCTTTCCACCCACAGCAAAGTTTATATTTAGCATCCAATCAAAATGTCGCAGGAGAAATTTAAATTTCACACAACGACAACAACAATCTAATTATAGTTGTGATCACTATAAATAGGTTAGATGGAAAACACGGAGTCGGAGTTCCGGAGTCGGAGCCCCGGAGTCGGAGTCCCGGAGTCGGAGTCCCGGAGTCTGACGTCATAAAAATATGGAAAACACGGAGTCATATGGAAAACACGGAGTCTGACGTCAGAGAAAAATATGGAAAACACGGAGTCATATGGAAAACACGGAGTCTGACGTCATAAAATATGGAAAACACGGAGTCATATGGAAAACACGGAGTCTGACGTCATAAAAATATGGAAAACACGGAGTCATATGGAAAACACGGAGTCTGACGTATTGTCAGCGTGAAATATGGAAAATAGTAATTAAATAATATATACAAACGGACGAATTTATAATATAACGAATTGGAAATTTTCTGCACTAATTCTGGTATTTCTCTAAAATGTCGTGAAAATATGGATTATTTATTTTTAAATACAATCAAGCAAATAATATTGTTTCTCTTGTCGTGTGACTTGTTCAGTTGTACAATATTTGAAGTGATTTTAATGCGGATTTTGTTCACCTCGCATGGTATGTTGATAAAAATATAGTTTATATACTTAATACTGCTAGAATATTTCATAGTCGATTTTATACATGTAATATTTATAACACAAAATCTTGACACTAAACAGATATGCTGCTTGGAAACAGCGTTGTTATTTAGGCCACATAAAATAAATATAGAAATTTTGTATTTCATAAAGTATTACAATGCTTTTGAAAGGGATAATTTTAAGTGAAACCCACCTGTTGTGGACTTAAAATAAAATTGTGAACTGATGATGCAGAACCACTGGGATAGGGATATTGCTAGGAATACTGCTAGGAATACTGCTAGGGATACTGCTAGGGATTGTGGCGCACTAAATTTACTGTTTTCATAGATTTTTGTCGGGAAAGTACAAAACATGGACCCCCGGTCCATGGACCCCTTGTCTGGACCGGGTCCATGGACCCCCTCCATGGACCGGGTCCACAGACCTGCGATTCTTCAATGGCCCCATCTATGAATAATGTTATCAGGAATTTTGAATACACCTGAATATAAATAACCCTGTACAGGGAGAAACTTGCAAGGTCAAAATGTTCTATTAATTTGTTCCAAATAACAAATACATTCAGCTAGCTAGTGCACAGCTCACAAAAATGTACTAATTGAAGCAAGTCAAATTGCTGATTATGAACAGTGCCTTTAGACCACTTTCATAAGAGACAAATTGAAACACTTTTTTGTATATTGAACCAAGAAGGCTAATTAAGATGCACAATCATGAATGAAAGTTTATTATTTCAACACTTTGCTGGCAGTGGTTTAATATTTCATAGGCTGTGATCATTGAACGGCTTTGCAAGTCAGTAACACTATTATTATTCACATGGTGCATTGATTTGTCATGATATGTTGTTAGCAAGCCTCGCTTTAGTATGAAGAAAACACTGGAGTGTAGATGAGGTTTGCTGCTAAGAACAAAAGTATGCTTTAAAACCACTAAAATATTTTTAAAAATTGAAAACTCGAATCATGTTTAACAGTAATATTGAAATTTGGAAAAATGCGACCCATGGAGGGGGTCCATGGATCTGGTCCATGGAGCGGGGGTCCATGGACCCGGTCCAGACAAGGGGTCCATGGACCCGGTCCAGACAAGGGGTCCATGGACCCGGTCCAGACAAGGGGTCCATGTTTTGTACTTTCCCATTTTTGTCCAAGCAATTAAGTTATAAAGAACAGAATAATAGTGTTGCCACATTCATGTAGTTCTATAGGCAAATGGTTGATTTGTCAAATATCTAGCTATTATGATTATAGGGGATGTTTTATATGTAATGCAAGCCAGCCTAGATACTGGCTTACTAAATTTACATGGCCTGTTTATATGGCCTGTTTATGTGGAAGCCGGGCTGGCCCGCTAAGTGAGACAGCCCAGTAAGCGAGATCTCGCTGTGTAGTTATTTTTATAGTAAAAATTATTGTGCGTTTATATGGACTCGCTTGAAAGAAGCGAGATCTTGCTTACCGGGATGGAAATTTTTCCATATAAACACTCACAAGCAGGCTAGGCTGGTTGCCGGGATGAAAGTTCAAAGATACCGCCGCAAGCTATTTTTAACAACTGTCAAAACAATACAATGTAACAAAATTGTCCCGGCAAGCAGGATGAAATTTTCTCATATAAACACGAGAGAAATTCATCCCGCTTACCGGGCTGTCTTGCTAAGCGGACCAGCCCGGCTTCCATATAAACAGGCCCTAAGGCAAATTTTGCTTATTGTACAACCATCCAGTATGATCATTCCAGTATTTATAATGAAACAATCCATAATTGATATTTGACAAATCAACCATTTGCCTATAACTACATGAATGTGGCAACACTATTATTCTGTTCTTTATAACTTAATTGCTTGGGCGTAAAAAAAAAATAC